TTGATAGAATCCTAATTTTATCTCTAGTTTTTTTCATGTGTAGTGCAGGATTTTTTTTAAAAACAGCACCTTCTTCTGGTGATTTATGGTGTTTGAGTTTCTCAGGCTTTCAGTAGGCTCTTCTTTTGAGACATCTAGGCCTGGGGAAACTACTGTAAATCCCCATAAGGCACATCCTTGAGATAGGAATTTCTCTGTCCCCCTTTATGTTAAAACCAAATAATTTATATTGAACTCCTTTACCAGTGGCACTTTCTTTCATCTGCCTCTGGGTATTACATAGACAAAACTAAAAAATATCCTCCTGAATTCTAGCATCTTTAAAAATACATGTAATTTTGTGTGTGTGTTGTGCATTCATACGGGGGTGCTCCATGCAGCCATCAGTACCCATGAGTACCAATAGAGTAGAACATTTTTCAGCACTTGTGAAAGCAATAACTGCATTTCTTTGTGCAAGAGTAGTGTTAACCATACCCTCATTCTTCAGGCTAACAGTGACTACAGAGAACTTTTCATTAGCCAATGACATTAGTAATTTTATTTTTCACTAATCTTGATTAATTTTTTCTAACTTTCATTTCTTACTTGTTTATATTAACACTTCAATAACTGTTAAGATGTGGTTTAGTTAAGAAACTGTAGCATCTCTGGTTTGTTGTGTTTGGGTTTTTTTCACTTTGGTTGGAGAAATTGCTTCAGCCGAAGAAGAATTCCATGTCTGTGCATACCCCATGAATGAGCACGACCTCCCTAGCATTCAGACATTTGCTGTGTAGTGTAGTAGTGTCATTAAAGACTGTCGACATAAGATACACGTGATGCTCATCAACTCAAGTAAAGTGTATCTTCTAAGAGGGTTGAGCAAGCAAAACATCTTGCCTCAAGATGTCACAAGTGATACCGGCACCTGGCCTCTGGTTCTAGTTTGCCTGAGCAGAAACACTTGAGAAAGACCAGAGCTCTTTTGCTTTTCTAACTTCTTGTCCTAGGCTGTCAGCAAGTCTCCTAACATGGCTAGACCTTGATTAGATGGAGACAAGGAACAGAACATTTGCAAAACAGATCCTGATTTTATCCTACATAAATTCTTCTGAAGTTAAGCACATTTCAGACCTGGGAACACCAGGCAGTCCAATCATACAGAGCTGGAATTTTCACGATACAGTGCTCTACAGTTCTTGGATTCCTTGTCAGCCATAATTCTAGAGAAATTATCAGTAACAATGTGGCACCAAAATTATAGCAAGGTTGAGTAACTTTTGAATCCTTGAGCTTCATCAGAGAAATCCAGCTCCTCACTGTCAAATCAGGCTCAGAATCATCCCTCAGAAACTCCAGTGGGTGTCTGGCCTTCAGTGTTCATTTAAATATTCTCTACTCTGCTGGGTCAGAGACCATTTTTTATAAACTTCTGGCATCCTGTAGAACTAGTTCCATATAAAATACTCCTGTGCTTAGTCAGAACCAGAAGACTGGAAAGTTCTGTAGAGTTCTGTTTAGCTGGACATCCTACACCAGGAGAGGTAGGTGTGGTTCACGCTAGGGCAGCTTATGGAGATGGGAACATCCTGTATTTTTCAGCATCTCAAAGATTCAGAAGCATTAAGGTTGGAAAAGACCTCCAAGATCTCTATCCAACCATTAACCAGCACCACTATGCTTGCCACTAAACCTTATCCCCAAGTGCCACACCCACATGCCTTTTGACCTCTCCAAGGGATGGTGATTTCACCACCTCCCTGGGCAGCCTGTTCAAATGCCTAACTATCCTTTCAGTGAAGAAAGTTTTCCTACTATCCAATCTAAACCTACACTAGCACAACTTGAGGCCATTTCCTCTCATCTTGTCACTTGTTATCTCGGAGAAAAAACTGGCACCCACTTTGCTACAACATCCTTTTAGGTAATTGCAGAGATCTTGTTTGTTGTTCCAGGCAACAAGTGACAGGATGAGAGGAAATGGCCTCAAACTGTACCAGGGAAGGTTTAGGTTGGACATGAGGAGAAATTTCTTCTCAGAAAGGGTGATTAGATATTGGAATGGGCTGCCCAGGGCAGTGGTTGGAGTCATCATCCCTGAATGTGTTTAAGAAAAGATTGGATGTGGCACTTGGTGCCGTGGTCCATTTGACAAGGTAGTGTTCAGTTGGTCATAGGTTGGATTCGATCTCAGAGGTCTTTCCCCAGCTAATTGATTCTGTGAAAGCTGCCTTCTGTGAAAGTTGCCTCCAATGACAGCAAATACTGACACCTACAGCAAAAAGATGCTGAAGTTTTATCTCTGCTGCAGAAAGAATTACCCTGAAAAAGAGGGTCTCAAATAGAGTATTATTAGTTAATATTGCAAATGCTAATTTGAAATTGTAAGAATTGCCACAGACATCTAGAAAGGAATTTAGATATAGTGCAGTAGAGAGCCTTTATGGCAGTAATGACATTTCCAGAGAGAGACATCTTGATAAGAAGTATTTCTTTATTAGTTTTCTGAAGCACAATGACCTATTCAATGCTTTGCATTCTTTTTGTATAGACAGGGTTGTACACACTCTTCTTAGGTCCCCAAGACAGGTAAGCACCAGTTGCCAGCTACAGGTATCAGAAGCACATAGGCTTTCCAACCCTCCAGGCCTACATGCCCTCCAGCAAAGCAGCACAAGACTTAAAGAGGGGAAAAAAAAAAAAAAACTTCCTTGTGTGTTGCAGTTCACCTGCTTCCTCCTCCATATGGCAATGTGTGACTGCACCAGAACACTGGAATGTTTTTAAAGTTGTACCTCTTCCTTTCAAGCACTGAAATGGTTTTATAATGTGTTAAAGCCTACCAACTGTCACAGAGATTTGTGTATTCTATTTTAGTCACTCATTGACTCCTTTTGGTCACAGGGTGTTTTATGAGAGCATGTTAGATCATTAGTAGCACTGGTTCTTTTCCTATGTAAAAGAGATTCTCTTTCTAGCTCTTAAAAAGGGATGGGGAAGGTGGTAGTGAGCCAATTCCAGTACAGTATTCATTTTGGCTGTCCCAGATCGAAAGAAATGTAAATATGTACAGCTGAAAGATGGGATACTGAGAAATGTTTTCAGCCAGCAGTTTATCGCTACCAAGTTAGAAAGCCCTGATAGCTCTGAGCTTTCAAAACAGTTATTTCCACACTATTACCCACTCTGCCTGAAGGAACTGTGTGGTCTTTCTGGCAGGTATCATTGCCTCCAGTATAAGACCTGCATACTTGTCACTGCCTATTTCAGAAGAACAAAAACCCACATATGTGTGCATGTCCTGAACACTCCGTAAGTGATCTAAGAACTGTCATTACATCCTTCACTGATGGCTTTGTCTTGGTCCTGAGGGTAGGAAATAAGTCAGCATAGATCCCTCCACAGAACAGAGATGATCCAAACCATAGCAGTCTGATGTTCCATTAACCTGTGACTTTGCATAACATTCAGCTTTTCTGTTCAATCTCAGAGCCTACCTCAGAAGCTCATTGAGAGCATGGATCGTGGGTCAGAGGGTGGTGAGGCACTGGCACAGGTTGCCCAGAGAAGCTGTGGAAGCCCCATCCCTGGAATTGTTTAAGAGCAGGTTGAATGGGGCTTGAAGCAACCTGCTGTAGTGGAAGGTGTCCCTGCCCATGGCAGAGGGGTTGGAACCAGATAGTCTTTAAGGTTCCGTCCAACCCAAACTATTCTGTGATTCTAGAGGTCAGACTTTCAAAAGCTTAGCACTAGACACTGTTACAGCACAGTTTATGAGGGCAAACTGTAGCCAATAGATGAGTTGCTCAAGTGTTCCTGTGCCTGCCTGGGTGTTTTCCAGCAGGGAGTCTCCAAAAGATGAATCTTGCAAAAAGATGATTGTTTGCCTATCATTTTTTCCAACATGTATTTGTAGAGATTTTGGGACTGTATATGGACAGTGAAGTCTAGATTGCACTATCACAACTATCACACTTCAGTTGTCAAAGAAGTCTTATTAAATAGGGGAAGAAACCAGTTTTAGCCTAACCAATGATGGAAGAAGCTTCTGTTACATCAGGGACCATGCAGATACAATGTTTCACTTACATTCTTGACATGGCCATATTTAAGCTATTAATGTGTTCTGGAGATCCCCAGTTTACTGAGCCATCTTCAGAAGATAATGTTTTGAACAACTGTAGGTAGCAAATAAATATTATATGGCTTAAGGATAATAGAATTGCAGAAAATTCTGTCATCCTTAAGCCATAAAGGTAAACCAGTCTGTCCCAGGAAATATCTTTCCAGTTTATGGAAAATTAGGAACTTACTAACAGGGTTAGTGCTCACCATAGTGCAACCGGCATTGAAACAAAGGCCACCAACAGGGCATACCACAGCATACCCAGGAAGTATTCAGTAGGGTTATCACCCCAGCACTACCAAAACAGTGATGTTATTCTGATCTTCAAAGTTTATCTGACTTCCAAAAGCTTAGCTTCTGTTTCCAGGTGTGAGGTATCAACATGACTAATCCATCTGATGTCTGGATCCTGAAATGTTTCACTTCACAGCACACATACAGAAATTAGCTCCTAAAGAGAAATTTTCTTCTTCAGTTATGTGAACTATTACTGGAAGATAGTCTATAGATGCATTAACCTAACACATTGGAAATTAAAAAAACATCCCTGTAGTCTCATGAACATTTAAGTCTCCTGTCCATGTTATTCTGTGCCATTTCCAGGTTTGTATACCCACCCATTTGTTCACCCCTGTGAGATCTGCTTTTCCTTGTCCAGTGGCATTGACATTTCTGGCAGCTCTGTCCTCTCCTCAAGACAGTAAGTTGTGTCTCTTTGGTCCCACAAAGGCTATGACACTTTCCAGCCTTCTTTACTTCCTCTCTGTAATGGGAAGGAAGTGAGCTTGCCACCTTCTGTGGATCTCTGCCTGCCCTTACTACATAGCCCCTTCCTCTGTTCTACCAGAACCCAGCTGAGGAGCACACTGAAGACATAGTAAAAACACAAAGATTAAAGGATGGAAGGATCAGCATGCCTTCCATTTATTGTTGAATACAACATTGTAAATAAACCGGTATGTCAGCAATTATTTTATTACTCAGTTTAGATATCACTGGGGAACAAAAACAAAAACGCTAAACGAGCCTTTTCAGAAGGCCCTCAATGAAAGCTACAAACTGCCTTTGAAATTCAAAGAAAACTCAGTTCCTGACTCCAAAGTACCAGTAAAACCCCAGACTTGATGTTTCCAATCTATTGCCTTTTTTTTTTCCAATGGAGAATCAGGATGGAACAATGTTGCAATATTTAATTCTTCAGCAAGCGCTCATCTGACTGCTGTAACAGTAACTTACTTAGAAAGCAAAGTCCTAAATTAAGTTTTACAAGAGATTTGTACACATTAGTTTCCAACCTTTAGGGCTACATTCATCATCCTTCTGACCAGAAAGAAGACACCAATTATTGAACCATTCCATTAGATTGAAAACAGTAGAAATGGAGAAAGGATTCTTGAAAAAATTTGCACATCAGATCACACTTCAGGAGGTTATTTCAGCATAAACTACATGATAAGAAGTCAGATTTATTTTTATTTTATATGATGACTAATGATTTACATCTCACCCACCCATTTGAGAATATTCAGGGCTCCAGCCAGAACCAGACTATTCAAATCATTGTTGGGCCATCCATTTACTAGTTACAACAAGGCCTTCTGTGACTAATTATGGTCTGACTGCAGCAGGAAAGGCAGCTTCAAAGAATGGGAATTTTCAGACACACTGGCAGTTCCCTTGGTTCCCAAATTCATTATTTATGTGGATTACATTGAGTTGACAGATTTAACTGGGCTGCTGAAGATATGGTCAAAGAAGCAGGGTCACTCCCTTCCCTTTTATTGTCTTCTGAAAACATAAGAGTCATATGCATCTGTCACTAGAGAGAGGAAGTTCTCCATCACTGGACTTCATTTGGGATTTTATAGGCTGTTTCAGTAGCATTTGGGAATAGATCAATATAATATGTGGTAGGGAGTTGTATTTCTTCATGATGCACTGTAAATCTTTTATTGAAGATAGTCCCACTGTTTATTGTTGAAAATTGATAAAAATAAACCTTGTAAAGTTAAAACCTGGCAATGGATCAGCACAAATCAGAGGGAAGTAGTAAGAGGCAATGTGCCTCCCTCCTCTTGGATAATTCCCAGCTTGTTTCTCAAGGAATATTTAGTAACACTTTCCAGCAATCTAGGAACATTTTTTTTTTTTAAAAAAAGTTATTCAAAGTTATGAACTCTGTTGTGAATTCAAACAGGACTTTTGATCTACTCTGGTGGCTTTCTGGTACTGAATTCAGCTGTGGATCAAAACAAAATACCACCCAGATTATGCTGGATGTACCTGAGACTTACGCACGCAAGAGACTGACATAAGCACATCAGCCTTGCTTGGGTCAGTTTAACAGAGTTATTTTTGAGTATTGGAAAGCTGGAAACCAACCAAAATAGGTAGAAACTGGGAAAAGTCCACTGGGCAGAAAAGTTTCCCCACAGTTAACAGAAGTTACTCTCATTGGGCATGATGCAGTTATTCCAGCATCATTGTTTTTCCCTATGGCTATTAAATCCTCATATACAGCATTGTAGGGAGGATCTTCTACTACTTCCATGAAATTCAATCATGAAGGTAAGTGAAAAATGGTTTGGAAGTATTTAGTAAAGGAGAAAACTTCCTGGTACTATGGCCAGCACAGAGAGAACAGTCTTGGTATCTAAGATACTATCTAAATAGTATCTTAGTCTATGATATCAATTTATAGAGCTTTATTTAAACATCTATTCTTAATTATCTATACACTCACATGAGTGCTGACTGCAGAATCTATAAGAATGCAGTGACTGCACTTCCCAAAGAAACAAAAACCCTCATGAACTGTCATTGAAATCAATACCCAAAGAACAAGAAGTTATTTCACAATAGACTCTGTTCTTCCTGGTATCAGCAGGATACTGAACAATTCAAGTGGTAAATAAATGACACATCCCTGAAAGGGATAAGTACAACATGAGAGACTTCCCAGTGTTTGAAGAAGCAGGCAAAAAGTTACTTAAAAGCACCAAAAATGTCACCCATCACTAGAAAAGGAAGTCAACATAGTTACACGGTGCAAGAACAGGGAGATGGAAAAAGTGTGTAGTACCTCTATCCTGTTGGGACATCCAACTGGCATCACAAGATTGTACTGGCAAAGCCCTTAACAGTCTTGAATATAGAAACACAGGATGACACACAATAATAAAGGAGGGAAAAGTGAATAAGATGAGAAAGTATAAAGCAAATGAGGCATTGTTTATCTGAATCATCTGCCTTTTGCAAATCCCGCAAGCTATCACCTCATTTTGGATGACCTGCCATGTAAACTGCAGTCCCTGTGAGTGGGACAGGATGATGGTGCTGCCTCATCATTCAGTTTCTTTTTCCCCTGTGGCTCTGCCTGCTACAAAACCACAGAGAGGTCATTGTGAGTGAGGGACAGGACTGCCCCAGCACTGTGGCAGTTCCTTTCTAGCATTGCAGGCAGTGGAACATTTTGCACATTTCTGCTGAATCCAGGGAAGAATAAAAAGGCAAATACAGCAGTGAAGTTTACTGAAATCAGGAAATTTTGCACCTTCACAGGAAAAAAAATGAATTCTCTTGAGAAAGTTGGCAATGACTTGAAGAAGCAGATTATGTCAGGGAAAACAAAAGTCTAAATGTCTCAAAATCCCATTCCCATTTAAATCAAAAAGAGAGCTAGATGTGAGCAATCAGAGCTTCTGGTTCTGTCACATGTAAAAGCACAACCAAGTCACCTACAACACACTGCTAGTCTAGCAAAGATTGTTTGTGAGATACCAGAGTTGAATTCCCTGCCAAGGTTTGGGTGGAGGTACTCAGTTTAGCACATAATCTGGTTGTGACAAAGCAGCTTTTAAAATCACTCAGACCTGTAGATCCTAACAGCTGAATTCACTTGTACAGCTGTTCCCTTCTGTGCGAATAATTCTGCTCAGTACATACCACACAGTCTGCTCTCTGCTACAACCTTGCTTGTTTGGGGCTTCAAAAGGGAAGGAGCAGTAAAAGCATTGGCCACTATTTCTAAATTCCTGCCTTGATGCCTGCAGGTTACACTGCATACCACTTCAAAGAGGGCACAGAAAATTTGCCATCCTGACTCAGCAACACTTTGCAGTAGCATGAATAACCTTGCAAGGTGAAGGCATGCTGAAGATCCTCCTAGTAAATCAGTGCTATTTTTACATTAATTTGTCTGCAAATAAACATAATTTCACCTGTTCCTCCATAATTACTGCTATTTAGTTGTATCTTGAAGCTACACAACACCTGTAGCTCTATCATCACTGCTTCCTTTTTCTGTATAAGAAATCCAGTAAGGTGCTTTCCTTGAAGAACCAGCTTCAATTAAATTAATTTATTCCATCAATCTTCTATTGAAGTCATGGGTATCCTACTGATATCAGTCAGACACTTTCAACAGATTTCTATCACACACATGCTGTCAAACTTAAATTTAAGGAACTATCAGTTAAAAAAACAAACAAAAAAACCCAACAAACTGAAAGCATTGTGTAAGAGCCTAATCATGTTCTCTGCAGGAACACAAAATGACAGAAGGTGACGCTTCTCAGTTCCGAATAAATGCTAAGTAAGAATAAATGTTAGAAGAACTCTGGGAACACAAGCTTGTTGATAGTCATGTGCTTTGCTTCCAAAAGAAGCACAGTCATAGCACACTATTACCTAAGGGTGAGGTAAAGCACATATGGTTCTTTACATGACAGCAACTTGCACTGGTATATTTTCCAGAGACAAATGTTGCATTCACATTGATGAATGCAGAATGATGTTTTGCTAAATAAAAATTAACTCATGTGTTCAGCCCATCATAAAGTTTTACTAAAATGGTTGTACCAAACATTCATTTTGCCGAAGACATGGAACATGGATGATGGCATAGGTAAAAACTTTAGGGCTCTTTAAAAATTGAAGTATTTTGTCTTTTCTTTCACTTTTTTCAATTTAATAAAAACGGAATCCAAACTTAAATTTTCAAAGTGGCTGCTGCAGCATGGAAAACAAAGTCTCTACTTTTGTGGTAGGTTAAACAGTGTAATTGTTACTATGAGGGGTTCTGGAACTTGTCTCAGCTTACATCACTGCTGTTCGTGATCATTTAGGGCATATTTTTGCCTCAAGTCTATTTTTTTAACTTTCTCTGTAAGGAGGTTTTTTTTTGGTTTGTGGTGTTTTTTTGTTGGTGGTGGTTTTTTGGGGGTTTTTTTTTGTTGGTTTTTTTTTTTGTTGTTTTTGTTTTTTTCTTTTTTTTTTTTTTTTTATGCTTAATATTGGTTAGTCCCTCCACCTATAATATCAACAGCCAGTAACTCACCCAATAATCAACATTATCATTTCCAAACAAGGAGCGCTGTCTGCAGGACAGCAATTTGTGGGGACACTCATCCCACACAGCTTGTCTGCTCTGTCACCCAACTGTGGTCTGACCTCAAAGCCCACCATGATAGGCTTTCTGGCAGAGACCTTCGCAGAAGGTCTCCACAGAATCATGGAACAGGCCAGGCTGGAAGGGAACTCAAAAGATCATTTGGTCCAGCCTTTCATGTGAAATAAAGCCTCCATGAAACCATTTAGCATCCTCTTCAAAATTTCTAACAATGGAGACTCTACCACATCTGTGGGGAGGTTGTTCAGATGGTTCTCCGTAAGAAATATCTTACTTCAAGACAAATATGAACATACTGACATTACCGACCAAAAAAATCCCATTTGAAGTGGAAGCATTCACTCTTGCATTCATTACATAACCTGTGAGCGGCTTAGGAGATGTAGTCTCACAATCATATTCTTCTCAACCCAAACAGCTCTAGAACAAGCAAAGAGGACCTCACTACTTCTGCTGAGCTTCTGAACTTGGGTCAAGCTGAAATGCCTGAGTAGTAGCCAAAGAAAAGAGGTGTCCGATAGTGGCACCACCAGTCTGGAAAGATCCGTTTCACTGAAACTCCTCAGGGCAAGAAACAGATGGCTGAGTCCCACCCTCATTATCAAGTGCTGCAAATAAGGTAATGCATTCACATTTTAAAACTGATGAAAAGCCAGAACTAATTGGTCAGCCAAGAAAGCCCAAAGTGGTTCTCCTGGGCTGTTCGAAGCCTTGGGAAGATGGCATTTTACCATCAAGAAAACTGAGATGCAACTAATGAATCTCTGAAGTTATTGCTATCTTCTTTCCCTGCCTTGATGGAAGGACAAAAGATTCTTAATTTATAAAGCTTCATTAACTTATCTCTCTCAGTACCTGAGCTAATTTTGGCATCTTTACAAAGCTTTGTACAGGACTAACAAGGCTTGAAGCCACTTCTGCTAAGCCTTCCAACTGTGTTGTACTTAATAAGTGCTAAAAAATCCTTTGCACTCTTTTGTTTGAGACTGTATAAACTTCCATCTGAAGGGCTGCTCATCACATTTTCATCCTTTTTGTAGTGAAAGCACTAAAAATTAACTGACCTTCTGTTCACAAAGATCTTTATAATTTAATTCTCAGAACCAAAGAGCATTTTAATGCCATCAGAGTGGGAGGAGAGGACAGAGGAGTGCTCTGCAAGAGACAGTCATACATTATTTCACAGACCTCAGCGATGGCTTTCACAAAACCACATAGCAGCACAGCTCGGGATGTTCTCCTTACACTGCTCTCAGCCAACTGCAAGAGTCATTAAGTGGAAGCACTAATCAATTTTTGGCGTTTGCATTCCTCCTCCAGCCACTTCTAACTGTTGGGATGACAGTTGCATCAAGATATTATTTCTTCATGTATTACCGTGTTTTTAAAATCTACTTGCAGATCAGCACAGAACATGAAAACAATTTTCTGGAAGGGATGGCCGATACTTTGCGAGTCCTCATGTAAATTTTAGGCACAGAGATAAAACAAAAATAACTCTTGCAATTGCTGAAATATGGTCCACAAACCCAGTATGGAATCTGGGCTTCTTTTACTTAAAGAAGGTAGAGCGGTAAAAGGCAAGAAAGCAATTTTCCCCCCTAAATACTTGAAAGAAAATGTGTTTGTTACTGCCCTCAATAGCTGCAGTTTCAAACAAGCCAAAACAAAAAAAAAAAGACCACTAGTGCTAACACATCCTTCTTCTACATTCAAAACACAGAAGAAAAGCCTTTATTTCCATTTCTGTACTTGGCTTCTCCTTGCCTGTGCTGCCCCAGAGCTCCCTGGGGTTTGGTTCGCCATAATGGCAAGACCTGCTGCCCTCTTCATCCTTTCAAAAGTGTAGCATTCAACCTTCTCTTCACTGGCAACTGTCCTGGTGCTTATGAGGCGAAATCCATCTCTGAGTAAAGTGTCAAGCAGCAGGCCTAACACGTTAGTACCATTAATCAGCTTTCTCTTATCAGGCTTTATGGAAACATACCTAAAAGCAGAGGAAAAAAAAAAAAAGCAGTTACAACACACTTTAACTACTTCTTTACAGTGCAGTGCTTATAGCTGCACAGTGCACAGCTGCACTGTGTTTATAGCAACGAAGGCTCCAGATATTTTTTCTTCCTTTAAGGACAACTGGACTCTTTCCTTCATTAAGAGTAATTCTCATACATCCAGTTATGTGCTGGGGAGGAAGCACTTCTCTTTCACACCCTCCCCCATCAAAAAACTTACTTTCTTAAGAAATACCTGTGACAACCCGCATCTTGACTCACTCAACAGAGAAGAAAGCAGCAGGCTCTGCAATGCTGCAAGAGTTTTTCAGGCAAGAGTAAATGATGGACAGTAGAGTCACGTTCACCCCAAGAGCATCACTCTCCAACACACAGGATCTCTCTCTACAAACAGTGACATTTATTGCAAAGTTACCTTCTACAGCATGTCATGTGGTAACAAATATGAAAATCATTTCCACATGGCCTCAAATGATTTTATTTGATATAAAGTACAGTGTAAGAATCTATCCAGACATTCCTAGGAACAGAGGTCAGGTAAAAATACTATTACAAAATGTATAAACTGACAGGGGAAACTGTTCCACAGTTCACAGGCAAGTACATCAAACATTCATGGTACGCACAAGAAAGGCAAAAAAGTCCATGTCACCTCAAAGATTAAGGAGATAGAAATTCAGCAAGGCAACATAATCAAATTTGACTTGTTTCATTACTCAAGATCAGCTTTTCTATTGATCTGCAAAGGGAAATTTTTACCAATTCTGAAGAAATAAATTTAAAAATCAGAAATATTTTTCCCACTAAAGTTGCCATAACCTACTCAACCAATTGCTAGTCCATTAAAATTAGTAATATGTTACAAAGTTAAGGTTTGGCACACAAACATATATATTGCTTCACAAATGCCAAGTAGTTTTTATTGTAATTGCTTAGCCAAAGAAAGCTGGAAGGAAGATAAACTTCATTTTCTTAAAAAAATAATCAAAAGACTGCTGTGTTGGTTCATATATTCAAATAGAATATTTTTGGAAATATTTCAATGAAATTTCCATAAAATTCCAGATGTTCTAACAGCCACAAAGGACAAATTAGGTTAATATTTTCTTATACAGTAAGAACATGTCTCCATACAATAGAGACATCCAGCAAAAGATAGTTTAAGAAATCTAAGTAGTCATTAGAATACGATACTGCTATCACAAAAATTACTGATACACAGTTATCTTAATAAAAACAGAACCTGACTCTGAATTCAAAGAAAACCCACTGTGAAGCATATAGTTAATAATCTGTCTTTTCTCCCTCCCCCTAATAAAAAGCTCTACAAAAGCTTTCTAGTCCCTGAAATGCTGTCTCAGTTCCACTAGAGATTTTAACCCTTCTTGCCATTCTCTGTTTCCTGTTTTCCATATAAAAGCTTTTTGCACCATAAGCTAGTGGAGATTTTAGGCTTCCAACCAGTACTTTAATTCTTTACTTTGTTTCCTTTGATTCATTTTACTCTGTGTTTCATGTTCTGTAAAAGGTGATACTGTGAAATTCTAAAGTGAGTGAGGAGGAAATTGCAGAGAGAAAAACCCAAGAGCACTCATAAACAAACATCAAGAACAGTATTTTAGGAAGCTGAAGAACAGGCTGTAACAAATTAAACTGGGTGTTTAAAAACTAGAAAAAGATAACATTGAACAGAAAGAAGGAAACCTATTTCTTTCAGTTTCTTTAAAATGAGCTTTGCTAGCATGCACTTCATGAACTGCAAGTCACAAAGACAGGTGCGTAATGAGAAGTCACTCTAGGGACAGTACCTGGGCACGAACTGGTCACCAGCAGAATACTCAGTACCACACAGAAAAACCAGATCGTGATGAGAGGGTCTTTCCAAAGGAAGTGGAACAAGTGGCTTCTGGGAAGGAAAAGGGCTGCTCCAGCCCTGTCCTGACTGCTGCCCTGTAAACACAGTGATCTGCTCAGCTAGTACCTCAATGGTGGTACTGCAGGAACCAAAGATCCGGAAAAAGGCCTGCATTTCTTGGAGAGAAAAACGCACTTCTAAGATCTCCAGCCTTGGCTTCAACAAATGTTCTTGGCTCAGGAGGTTGGCCAGGGGGTAGAGTCCATAGAATTCTGCTTCTCTCTGCAGCCTCTCATAGTCTGAGAAATCAGTTGGTAAGGACACCTGAAGAGTCCTCAAGAAGTCCATGATGTAACTAAACAAAGCTCCATCTCTGTCCACAAAAAACTCTCCATTCACCAGTTTAAATTCCCGGTCATCATCATTCACCATCCGTGCCAGCCTGGACTCAGGGAACTGCTGCAAGGTGGAAGCCCGGGTTACAAATCTCACACCTCCCACATTCAGAATGACCACCTCTCGACTACTCATGGCTGCCTCAGCCACTCAGGAATCGTAGCACTCTGATCTACATGTCTGTGACTTAATCTTTCCTAAACTGCAAGGCAGCTGCAAAAACCATTGCATGCTTTTTGCAAATGTTTGGAGGGAGGTGTGGAGCAGCAACAGGATTCCCAGGCAACAAAGATGTAAATATCATGTGCAATAGTTTTGTTTGCTAGGTTTGGTTGCTTGGAGACTTTGAATTCTTGGAATTTAATGGTTTATTTTTGAAATGAACAGCTTGCAAGGACTACTGGAATACAGTGAATTGACTGTCAAAATTCATGAAACCTTGAGAGAGGCAAACGAATAATCCCAAAGGATGGCACACATTAGGTTTGTTTTCTAGAAATGCCAGTTCAACATTTTCATTCCATACACTGCTGTTCATACGACCACTGCAAAAAGAGGTTAAATGTGCTTCAGGCAAGACATTTCAGTACCGTATGCTCCGAAAGAAGGGCACTTCAGAGAACTCAAGCTTAAGGCTCCCTTTAAGTCACTCTTATCTAAGGCCAAGTCAGTACAACCAGAAAATTCAAATAGTTCCTAAAACGAGATACACAGAAATACAGCAACAGCAGAAGAACGTATGCAAGGTTCTTCAAACACCACCAACATCCATACACCTGTTGCATCACATAACCTGTTCCAGGAATCATCCAGACATTTTTCCTGGCTTTGGAATTGCAATCTGGAGAGGCAGAGAGGGACAGGAGAGCAACTGTTCTACCTGCGACCTCTGCAGGGCTAGAGCCCAGGCTGCCTTCCTGTGGCAGACCCCAGCATGCCTTTCATTGCACTAAGTTCTTTATGTTAAGGCCAGCTTTAAAGAAAGTGTGGCTTCAGAGAAACATGGATCTAACAGAACAGCCCAGCTACCCCAATAATTTGATGTTGGAAAAGTCAACTGCAAAGTATGAACTATCTGCAAAGCACATACCATTCTGCAGCTTGTTCCTATCATTACCTCTAGAATTTATGCTTGCCCTGAAGATACATTTTTGTATAGAATATGTAATCTGAATGCACAGGGTAATTAAAATATTTGGTTATACAAAAAAAAAAAAATACCCCACAAAACCAAACTAAAACATATAGCCATTTCAGAGAGAAGTAACATGGTCAGATATAAACTGGTTCCAGAACCTGAATGATGCACGCTGCATTTTGCAGTGAAAGGGCAGTCCTCAGCAAACCTGTCAGGACAGTGCTCACCTCAGTCACAACTCTTCTTCCTCTTTCCAAACGATGTCCTAGTTAGAATTTTTTTAAACTATAATCTTTTACCTTATTCTACAATTACATTAACACCAAACTAAAGATACAGTTTGGCCCTGTATTTTGGTAAGAAAAATGATTTACAGTGAGTAATATTCCCATAAACATTACTGAAAGAAGAATTCACAAAGTGTTTTTCAAAGCTCCATTTCATTTTCTGGTTTAGCAGTGCTCAAACTATGTGAACATTATGAATGTTTTGGAATAATTTTGAATCTTTGAATGTTTTCACTGCAAGTCTGAAAAGACCAATTAATTTGAGAAATCCCATGTTTTATTTCCCAGATCTCTCTTAGTTCTTATATTCCAGCAGACACTTCACAACAGTTTATATTTGCACACAAACTGTGCAACATTATCCAGTACCACCAATGTATAGTTTTTACACTTTTCTCTTAACAGTGAGGCTCCATCTGTCATCTGTTCCCAGTAAAAGACTGCATGATCTGCTATCTCCACAGTATCTGCCAAATAGGACAAGCAAATTGTAAGGAACTGAGATTTCCAGCACTGGAGGTTGTCAATGACTGACTCCACAAAGGACATTCTGGTGACAGCAAGAATGAGCAAGAAAATAAGAGAGTTCACTATAAATCTGCGTGAAAAGACTGAGGAAATCTTGAATTTGAAAGTGTTGCTTTCCTGAGGCAAGGAAAGTTTGTCCACATCAACAAGTTTTATTCCATTCCATTGGCTGGTATCAAAGCTCTTCATTGTGGGACTGATGTCCACAGTGGAACAAGGTAAAGGGGTTTCTTTGAGCACCTTGATTTTTTCCCTGAACTCCTGCATCTGTTGCAGAAATATAATGGGTTCAGACACATCTTTGAAGGCCTCTGCAATGTTAAAAGCCATCCGCTGCTCTTGCAGAATTGTGTTCAATTTATTGATTTCCGGATCGTAGGCCTGCATCACTGCAAGCTTCATGGTCTCAAAGTCAGACAGAATCTCATTTCGCTTCTGCTCCAGTGTGTGCTGCAGCTTCTCAAAGAACTCCTTCACTTTGTCAGAATCTTTCGTCAGCATCTGCAGAGCTTTCCTCTTGCTGGTCTCTAAGGTATCCAGCCGTGAGAGGGCATCTCCACAACGCCAAGTTTCAAATCCCTGAAACAAGGTTTCAAAAGCCCGCTTCTCCTGGGAATAAGCTTCTTCGATGGAACAGAAAACATGCTTTGTGTGGTCACCACGGGTGGCACAAACCCCACAGATCAGCTGCATGTCTGTCCTGCAAAAAATGTTAAGGGGTTGCCCACTGTGCACTTTGCACACAGGCATTTTTGGAGTTACTTTGATTTTGTTGTACTTCTCCACGATACCTTTCAGGGAATAGTTGACCTGCAAGCTGTTGATTCCAGTGACAGGAGTCTCCTTCCTGCATGTGGGGCACTTGAAAGGGGATGGCCTCCAAAGCACATTCCGCACATTTCCCTCGAGAATTCCTTCCAGACACTTTCTGCAGAAATTGTGTGAACAGGGCAGGACACGAGGATCATCAAACAGGCTACAGCAAATGGGACAGGTCAGATCTTCCTCTAGGAGCTCCATCATGTCCTAGGAAAGAGAAAAAAGATGGTAACAGAACTTACAAAACTTATTTCTCCCTCAAGGAGACCATACAAAAACCAACCTCCAGCTGAGACACATCTCAGTGAGAGAATGATGTATTTTTTCTTCCAGTATCCTTAAGACAGAGCCCCAGCTGGGTTTTTGCAGCCAGTCCCCCATAGCTGTGGTACCTGGCCAATACATGGCAGTCACAAGAATGGTGCAATGCTCAGGCAGAATGATTTTTTTGGACTTTCAACTAGAAATGCTGGAAAAGAATGCTTGCCAATCCCAGCATGGATTCTTAAAGGAAATAACTCATGTACTCATAATAACAGTGCAAGACTTACATCTTTCCTTGCTGATGCAATACACAGAAATGGAATTTGCAAAGAAGATACATAGCCAACACACTCTGCTAAGATTTGATGACTTTCTACTTGCTCTAATCATCCAAAGCTTCCAGTTTCAATCACACTCTGGTACTGTAGACAATACTAAAAGTGACTGAAAAAGCCCAGCTGCAGTATTTCTGCTGCTACAGAATACATGATGTGTCTTTTTGTTCTACTTGCAAGGCCAAAGGAGAGTCACCACTCACTTCAAGAATTACCTTTTCTCTTGCTCTTGCAGTATTTTTAAATAACCAACTGAATGTGTTGCTATTGAGCCATTCAGCACGAAGTTAAAATATTTCAAATAACCGCCACCCATAATCCTTGATAATTCGTGATGATACAGAACTGTTAAACATTTTTACTCATCTACAATCTCTATTTCCAATGCCATTCTCACTGCATTCACACCTCAGTAATTTCTTTCTGTGGACAGAACCTATAGGAAGAATATTTATCCCTTCCTACTGGAAAGTGTCAGTGAAGGGACCCAGCGCACTACCCTCCCCCTGCCTCTAACTAAAGCCAAGTTCTCAGATGCAGACACCCTGTAACTTACAGCATGCTCTAAGAAAACAAACAGCTAATAAAGACCAAAGTAGGTGACAGTCTGTATAATCTAAAGCTCCCAAACACTTTGTTTTGAGCTATAATTAGAAAGCTACTTCCCTTGCATAAATTCCTTCCGTATTATACAACATATATTGATATTTATGTAATAAAATTAATTTTATAAATTGAAAGATGTCACAGAAAAGTGCATCAAAGTACTGTTGTGACATCAAGGCATGTGAATGAGCTCTTAAGTTTTGATGTAATTTCTAAGGTTTCTGTCCCCTTAAAGAAATATGAAGTGGAAAACAGCCAAGAAAAGAACTGCAAGGGAAGATCCACACTGCACAGGACAAGAACAGCAATAAAAACAATACCTCTGACCCAAGAAAAGCAAAGTTCACTATCAGGAAGAAAAGCGAGATCACTCCTGACTTTCTGTCACAAAAGGACCAATAGACCCAGTAATACTTCACAGTAAAAGCTATTCTTGGCAAGTGTAAGCAAACCTCCCATGCTTTTAAAGTGAGGAGGAAGGGTTGTCACAGCCTGAAAATTCTGCAGAAATTCTCAGTGGGCTGAACAAAGACAGCAGTCCAGCGTCAGGAACTCTTATCCTTTATTATATAGCCACCTTAACTCCGACAGCTATCCCACTATTTAGTTGTAGAAGTGTTGGCTAACAAGCTGTTGACTTTTACAATGAACTTTACCAAGCTCCCGACTCTCCCAGCAAACTTCAGCACAGAGCAAAGGGTGAAATCCGATTGCCACACTTGCTGGGATAAACCAAGAGAGGATAGAGTAAAGACAGAAAATAGAGAAAGTGAAGGAAAAAGACCACCAGTCCTCAGATCCCGCACTGGTCCTGCCACTGTGTACAGTCCAGATCTGGTATCAACAAAAGCCTGAGACCAATCCCCTCCCTTTTACAGTTTCCCTAGGGCACATCCCCTCATTTTTTGTGCCATTTGCTGCTGCTGCTGGCACATGCACAGTGAACCCTTAGAGCCCTTCAGGAAATGAGTGGCGGGGCTGAGGGCCTGCAGTGGTCTGGGAGCCTCCTTTAGTGAGGTGCCCAGGACATGACCCTTCTCTTGCTGCAGGCACACTAAATATGAGCCTCCAGGCTGATTAACAAGCCCAGCAAAGAAAGGGAAGCTGGCTCACAACAGCGCTTCTCTGTCTCAGCGGGACCCTCCTTCCCAATCCCAA